GTAAATAACGCTTCAAGTAAATGATTCTACAATTTAATTCTAAGCTAATACGCGAAGTCAGGTAAAATGACCAAACCACCCCTCGGTCCCACATCTCGAAATCGGGTAAAATTTATATTTTCAAAATTCTCACACTCTCACGAGTTCATGCATACCAAGATTACCAAAATCGGACCTCAAATGGTCCCTCAAATCATCACTCAAAAGTCTCCAATTAGTCAAGCCCTAACCCCCCAATTACCACTAATTTTCCTTAATCTTTCATGCTTAAATTGATAAAAATCATTCCAATAACAAGTTTACGGACCAAAAACCTTATCCCAATGAACTCCTTTGAAAATCCCTCTTGAAAAGTGCTCCCCAAGCTTCTTCCCGTTTGAAAAAGATGAAAAATGGCTAAATTTCGCAAAGTCAAGAATTTATATGTTCTGCCCAGCGATTCCTGCTTCTGCGGCCCTAGGACCTGCGGTCCCGCTTATGCAAAACCCGGTCGCATCTGCGACATTTCATTAAAGGAGGACTTCCCGCACCTGTGATTACATTACCGCAGATATGGTGTCGCTTTTGCGGTTATCTGACATCATCTGTGGTCGACTCCCTTTTGCCTCAAACCGCTTTTGCGACCGCTGAGCCGCTTCTGCGGTGCCCCACCTGCGGGATCCAAACCGCAGGTGCGGTTATGACAGAACCACCAGCTGAAGCTGCAACTCTAACTCCAAAATCCTTCCGTCAACCATTCGAAATCATCCCGAGGCCCCCGGGACCTCAACCAACGGCACCAACAAGTCTCAAACCACTACCCAAACTTGTACCAATCCTTAAAACACCTAAAACAACACCAAAACCTCGAATTGATCATGGATTTAAGCCTAAGAACTCCAAATTTCACGAAATATGCTTTCGATCAAAATGTTTAACAAACCTCGTCTGAATAACCTGAAATTTTGCACACACACGTCACATTCAACACTACGGAGATACTCCAACTTCCGGAATTCCATTCCGACCCTCGGATCAAAATCTCACTATCGAACCGAAAACTTAAAAAATTCGACCTTCGACATTTCAAGCATAAATTAGCTACGGACCTCCAAAATACAATCCGATCACGCCCCTAAGCCCGAAATCACCCAACGGAGCTAACGAAACCATCGAATTTCCATTCCGAGGCCGTCTTCACATTATTCCGACTACAGCTAACTTTCCAACACTTAAGCTCTCATTTAGGGACTAAGTGTCCCAAAACTCTCCGAAACTCAAAACCGAATATCCCGGCAAATCAAAATAGCAGAAATAAACTCGGAAAAAATAGTTAATAGGGGATCGGGGCATTAATTCTTAAGGCGACCGGCTAGATCGTCATAGTAATTGACCCAATACATAATCAACCTCATGCTTTAATAAAGTAGTCTTTGAACTTACAGATTCAGTAATTGCGATAATTACTTCTAATTTACTATTGTTCTAATGTGCAAAATGAGCAACATAACATTCATACATGCCTTGTTCTTCACTCAAAAAAACTTTTCTCAGGTCCTGGACAGAGGAATAAGCAGTAGGATGTCACGACCACAAACCGGCACGGTCGTGATGACGCCTCTCGTGAAGACAAGGCCAGCCGATACAACACTCACCTTAATCCTTTGAGCATTAAGAGTCATTTTTAAATCTTTAAATTAAACAATGTTTCATAATAAAATCCTGGAATAATAGTGCGGAATAAAATACTAGCCCGACATCGGGGTGTCACTAGTCATTAGCAACTATCAAGGCCTGAATACAACAAAAGTCTAAAAATGTACTAAATACAGTAACAACAATGAGGGGAAGGAAGCGGTGCAGCGAACGTCATATAGCCACCTTGCTAACTCTGATGACTCCGCGGCTGAGCTATCAACACCCGCTATCGGGTTCCGATATACCAGAATCTGCACACGAGGTGCAGGGAGTAATGTAAGCACTCCAACCCAGTAAGTAATAAGAGTAAATAAAAGCTGAGCAGTAGGAAACAATGAATCCACATTCACGTTAGGCTCAATAAACACAATATGCCTTCAAATCATAATACGAGTCAATCTTCCCTTTTAAATTCCAGCTTTTAGTAAAAATCATTTTGAAATACTTTCCAGCAGCTTCGGTAGGGGTTCAATACCATTTAAGATAATAATAGAGATTAAAGCCATAATCGGCCCCTCGGGCAAAATATAGTTTGTAAAACAGCCCCTCGAGCAAAACAGTAATCATAAACACTTCATAACTTAAAAATCTCAGTGGAAATAACCAATGCCAAATTATTGATTAATTTCTCAACATCTCATAAAGCCCAGTTTAGATAAAAGTTATTTTAAAACATTTGTTTAACTTTCCGACAGAGGCTCAATATAAAGATGAGTGAAAACAGTGGATAAATCAACATATTCGATAGAAATTCACTTTAAAGAGGAGTGAAATCAATAAGTCCATAAACAG